ATGATCTGGTCATTGGACATCGTTTAACTTTTCCGAATAATCAGTCCATTGAGACTATCGTGAATAGGGTGTGAACGAGTCAACTATTCTTCAACGTGACCTGTTGGCGACCGTGAAAGGTGTTTAAATACTTAAATACACATTCAATTTACCTTTTCAAAAATTGTGAGTCACCAGTTTTTAGGGGAAAAAATCACGGTTTTTTCGTCAAAATCAGTGTAACAGATGGCATTTTAATATTGCGGTAAATAACTTCTGTGTTGCGTCTTCTGTTGTTAGAATACCCAGAACTTATTTCCAATAAATTGTACTTTCGAACAATATAAAGATTTTAAATATGAAATTTGGATAATAATTCGTGGGTTGTAAGATGGTAAAAATGTTAAGCAAAATAATCTTTTCTGAGGTTGTGGTGAGTATAAGCCCACCCCTTATATTCCTTGATTTTACATGTTGAGGCCCCTGGGCTTATGATCAGATAAGTACAATACGTGAAATAGTTGACAGTCGTAAATTTTGTGAATCCAAATGTTGGCTATTGGTGTGGCTACTCATCTGATTGTTTGAATTGATAAGTAATTCGGACAAATGTTCATCTGAGTGAATTCTCAACTATATCACATAAAATCAGCATATTTATAGCAGGAGGTTCGTCACCTGTGCATGCACGGGAATTGAGTCCCAAGCAACGATAACACACGCTAAAAATGCAAAGGCTCATGGGTAGATGCTTGTTTGTAAACAATGACGACACCCCCGCTTTAAAATCATTACATATTTCACATTATGGTGATGCGGATAGTAAGCAAATTATGAGAATATACCTTTATTGCTATATTCGATCAATGTACTGTTTATACAGCTCATAATTGCAATAATGAACATTACAATAGAAGCACCTAAAAACATGACAGACAGACATGTGGGTAGAGAGGAGAATTGACTTACATTGGTAGGTAAGTTAGTTGTCCGATATTAGAATGGTGCCAGACGGAGTGGGTCAGTGCCAACAAATAGGCACATGCCATCTCACTGAACGACGAATGCAGAGCTGAGAAATCAAACATCACTAACGGCTGTGTAACAATTCCGGCTGTTGCAGTTCCGCTTTTGATGCTGCTCAAAATGCTGCTCTTGAGTGTTTCTATAATTCTCTCATGAAGTGATATCCAATACGGTTCCTAAAAGATACAAAAACACTGAGATGATTATTATGAATCACAAAGTCGAACTTGAATTGAAATTGAGGAGATTCACTAAAATTTTTCACTATGTCAACATGTTCTTCACTTTTCCATTAAATGGACATGAGATTTTTTGTAAACTTTTTTCATGTTTTTATGCATCAAGCTAAAAATACAATGTTAATGCTGGATGACAGACAATCACCTATACCAACAGTTCCGCCTGTCATCTCCAATGACAGCGAAGCTAAAAATGGCCACCAGTCGGCCGTTTTGAATCCTATCTGAAAAACAAAATGACATGCATCAAGGTCTGCTTATGTCCAATGTATGTCCAAAGTTTGAACAAAATCCATCCATACACAACTGAGGTCTGGCTCCGAAATGACAGAAATACCTGAGTTCCATGAAAAGAAGTGGCTTTTTTAACTTAAAATTCTAATTTAGAAATAAATTGCATCACTTTTAGTAAGAAACATTTCTTTTAAATTAGTAGTTTTACTTACAGGCAGTGAAGTTAGAATTAATCCAATAGCATTCATCCAACACATTATATTCTGTCTTGGTATCATCGTATGACTGCAATAAATTAATAAAAGTATTCAAGTAATACAACTGCTTTCCACCAATAATTTATAAAGCCAAGAAAACAAAATTCACTGTTTCTTATTTCTGTTTCAGGGAAAAATACAAGATTACATGCTTTATATTCTGGGTCATCACCAACGGCAACAAGTTTAGCATAATCCACAGTGAAAATATCTCTCATTTAAATCAAAATTACAGCACTATAGTTGCACACATTATTTCTCCAAGGACATGTCCAAAAAGATCTGAGGGTCGAAATAAATGATGCATGCATAGTTACATAAACTTGATAATGCGAAAACAAAGTGGTAAAACCTTCGCTTTGCATTCTATTATAATTGCCTCAACTCCTATGTTAAATAGAATAGTATTGACAGGATTCATCAATTCAAGGATGTGTCTGTGAATAGGTGATTTTCCGTTCAACTGCGAGATCTCGCGAGTTGCATGAAAGACATGCGTTGAACGTCTGCCACAAAAATCGAACGATTTGATTTTGAGCTTGAATTTCTTTATTTCGTAGCTCACATCGATCGGCCGATCTTCGACAGAGGAATATTGCTTTCGAATACCCTCACTTGTCTATCATCAAATGTGTACAGCACATTATTAAGCATGGAAATGCCCCCAAAAATATTTTCGTGTTTGTCGAATCCCACATGATGTTTGATGACACTGCGACGCTATGACCTTTGTTTGTCCTGTTTTTATGATCGATTCCGCGCATAACGCATGATTCTCGCAGTGAGCGGAAAATGGTCTATAAGTAGATTGTTCCCCAATGTCACAAAATGAACTAATCCAATAGAAGTCCATCCAAGGTTCGTACATACACAATATTAAAAAATCTATTTGAGTAGCAGTTTTCAAAAGATGTAGTTTACATGTGTTTTATACACAATTCAGCATGATGTGGCACAAAGACTAGCTGCGGCATTTTAAAACTGAAATCTCCTTACTGTTTCAGAACCACGTCCATGATAGAATTTCCAACATTTCTACCGCTGACAGGTAATGACATTAGCTCAACACATATAGTGTGTAATGCATGGGCAGCCGGGTTCGGAAATTCATTGAATCGCCAGTCTATGTCCGGTGCGGCTGCTTTACTGGATATCAGTACAATTAGTCAAGGAATAAACTATTATGTGAGAAGTTATTTGATATTATACATGTAGGTTATATACAAGTTATTATTGTACATCTGACAGTGTAAACAATAGAATTTACCCGTCCTTAAAATGCTTTATGAACATGTTTGAAACGAACGCTTTCGAATGTCTTGTGTTTCACGCTTATGTCTAATTTGTCTTAATTTTTGAAGCTCTATCAGCATGTGATGTTTTCATTGCCATTTCGGGCTGTTATGTGTCATTAAATTATTACTATGAGAAGGCAAAAGTTGTATAATAACAAGTCATTGAAAATGACACAGTCCCCGTTAAATTTTTGAAAGGTCTCTTTGTGCTCGTCATATTAAAGCGGAGGGGTTGTCCCGTGCGTGTCCTTGAAACTTGAGTCACAAGTGGCATATACAACAGATTATTTATTCACATCAAATTCGAACACGTGTTGCATGATGACCCCTTCGG